CAGCCTATTCAACCTCTCCCTATAGCTCAAACCCACCAACCCTGGCAACATCCTTGTAAATCTCTTTGAACCCTTTTGAGTTTCACAACATTCTTCCTGTAGCAGGGAAAGCAGATCTGAATGCATTATTCCAAAGTGGCCTAACCAATGTCCTGTACAGTCATAACATGACCTCCCAATTCCTATCCTCAATGCACTGACCAATAAAGGCAAGCATACTAAATGCCAAATTGTGGTTCAAACTGAAGTGAGATTGAAACCAAAGTTGAACTTATCCTTTGGCCTGGTTCACTGACTACTGATCACCCTTTGTTGCCCTCCTTCATCCTCCAAGATTGCCCCAGTTTCTGACTGATGGATATGCATCAGAGATGAGTGGGTCCGTGAACACTGCTTATTTGGCCTGTTGCTGGGCTCTGGAGGGATTACCCTCCAGCTCTGATTGATAACATCGGGGCTGGTCTGCTTTAGAACATGAGAACTAGCAGCAGGGAGTGGGCAGTTCAGCCCTTTGAGCATGCTCTGCCATTCACTATGATCATGGCTGATCTCATCTTGGCCTCAACTCCACTTTGCTGTCTACTCCCTAGAGCCCTGTAACCCATTACTAATTAAGGATCTATTTCCTCCTTAAATTTACTCAATGTCCCGGTATTTACCACACTTTGGGTTAGTGAATTCCACAGATTCACACCCCTTTGAGGGAAGTATTTTCTCCTCATCTCTGTTTTAAATCTGTTATCCTTTACCCTAAAACAATGACTTGTTCTAGATTGCCCTATATGGGAAACCATCCTCTCTGTGACTATTTTGTCAATCCCCTTTGGCATCTTATATACCTCAATTAGACTTCCTCTCATTCTTTTAAACTCCAGAGAGCATACTGACCTAAACTGCTCAATCTCTCTTCATAAAAGACAAACCTCTCATCTATGGAATCAATCTAATGAATCTCCTCTGAACTGTCTCCAATGAACTACACCCCTGCTCAAATAAGGGGACGAGAACTGTTTTCTGTGTTCCAGGTACGATCTCACTAATGCCTTGTATAGTTGCAGCAACACTTCTCTACTTTTTTACTCTATTCCTTTAACAATAAATGCTAAAGTTCCATTTGCCTTCCTTATTTACTTGCTGCATATTAGTTTTTTGTAATTCATGTGCAAGGAGACCCAAATCCCTTTGCACCGAAGCACTGTGAAGTTTTTCTTCATTTAGACAATAATTTACCTTTCTATTCTTCCAACAAGAATGGATAACCTCTCACTTACCAACATTAAACTTTATCTGCCAAATCTTGGCCAATACCATTTGCATTGTTTCTTTATTCCAATTTACTTTCTCACCCATTTTAATGTCTTCTGCAAATTTGTCTATCGTACTTTCTATCCCTCCATCCAAGTCATTAGTTTGGAGCATGACCACACATTCACCATTTTGGCCAGCTTTCTGTCTCAGGAAAGCTGATTAATTTGTTCATTTTGTACAGGCTGTTCAAAAGGGTTGCCATTCTTTTAACTTGAGCAATGTCCATGAGCAGATGATTCTGGATATTAGTTCTGAGAAGGGTTCAGGAAATCAAGATAATTTTTATAGAATCCCTACAGTGTGGAAACAGGCCCTTCGGCCCAACAAGTGTACACCGACCCTCCGAGCATCCCACCCAGACCCATTCCCTTATAACCCACCTAATCTATACATCCCTGGACACTATGGGTAATTTAGCATGGCCAATCCACCTAACCTGCACATCTTTGGACTGTGGGAGGAAACCGGAGCACCCGGAGGAAACCCACGCAGACACGGGGAGAATGTGCAAACTTCACACACACAGTTGCCTGAGAGCGGAATCGAACCCAGGTCTCTGGTGCTGTGAGGCAGCAGAGATTTTGAGATGGTGTCATTGACGTCTTGAAAAAATTGCTCTGAAGAACTGTTTGGTGTGAGGAAGGTTGAAATCTGAGGGATACATTAATCTGGGGAAGGGAGGAGTGAGAAAGAATTTGAGAAGTTGTTTCAGCCAAAGGAGCCTTGTGTAACTGAAATGATCTCATACAACACTGAATGTTTCTGGAGAAAGATTTTGAAGTATATGGGGCAAAGGTGTGTGAGTACAGTTGAGGGATTTGGGAAGAAAGTGGGTTTAAAAGATATTAGTGGGGTTGAGGGATATGGTGGGTAGATGAGTGAATGGGACTGAGGGATTGTTACCTACTTGGGTTTGGTGGTGTGGGTTTTGGAACATATCAAAATTATTTAATGGAACTGACCCATTACCCAGGGACATGGTAACAGCAATCCTTGTGATTGAAATCTGATGGTCAACTTTTTAGGTGGATTTTTCAGCCTTTGAAGAAGGATGGATTGGACCCCATCACTGTCTTCAATTTGCCTGACACTTCTTACTCAATGAGCAGAAATGTACTCTGATTACTAGTAATATTTATCTGTCTTTAATATAACAAAACACCCCGAAATGTTTTTTAGAGGTGTTAGGAAGCAAAGTTTGTCACTGAATCTCATCAGGCATGTTTAGAGTGGATGGCCAAAGGTTGGTGAAAGAGAGAGGTGTTAAGCATCTTAAGGAAGAAAGAGTCACAAGAGTTTGGGGAATGAGTTTCAGCAGTGTGGATCTATGCAGTAAGGCTTGGCCATCACAGAGCAATTAAAATTCGGGACACTCGAGACCAGAATTATAGATACATAAAGGTCTTGGAGGATTGTGGGGCTGGAAGGGAATTTGGAAAATGGTAGAAATGAGGCCTTAGGGGAGTTTGCAAAAAAAATCCATTGTCGGTCAGTGAAGACAGGTTGATGGATGAACAAGCCTTGGTGTACGTCAAGATGTGCAGCAGAAATTTGAATGATCTCAGGTTTATGGAGAGTGGATTGTGGGAGGTTGAGCAGGAAAGTATTTGATTAGTCAAATCTAAAGGAAACAAAAGATTGAATGATGGCATCTGCAGCAAATGACCAGAGGAAGGGGAGAACAAGGTAATGTCATGGAGGTAGTTAGTGATGACATGAGTATGTAATCAGAAGCTGACCTCAAGTGTTCAGTTTCATCACCAAGGTTGCAAATTATTGGTTCAGCATCAGACAGTTGACAGGGATAAAGTTAAAGTTTGTAACAGGGACTGAGGACAATGGCTTTGATCTTCCCAGTATTTAGTTAGAGGATTAATTTTTGCTCTTCCAGTCAATGGATGGTATTAAAGCAGTTTAGTTGAGAACCATAGGGGAGATGGTGATGTCAGTGTGGTACTGACAGTGTAAGTGTGAATACTGATATTTTGCTTTCAGATTATGTCACCAAGGGGCAAACTATGGGTGAGAAAAACAGAACAGTTCCTGATTGATAATAAAGCAAGAACAG